CCTGTCTTTTGTTCTTTTTTCTTCTTTTTTACCTTTTTCCTCGTCTTTTCTTTGTTCGGATGTCAAGATATCCTTTGTTTGTGGGTTGTGGATTATTTAGCTAAGTGACCCCCCTTCAATTTCGTGTTTCTGGCTCGTCTTATGCAACAGAAAACGGGGATGATGTAAAATTTCGTATTCATAAAGATACAGATTGTCTTGGCCTTTTACGCTAAATCATTTTATTCCGTTGATCATTCTCAATCTCTCTCTCTCTCTCTCTCTCTCTCTCTCTCTCTCTCTCTTCTCTCTCTCTCTCTCTCTCTCTCTCTTTCTCTCTCTCTCTCTCTCTCTCTCTCTCTCTCTCTCCCTCCCTCCCTCTCTCTCTTTCTCTCTCTCTCTCTCTCTATTTCTCCTTTACCTTTATCTCTCTCTCTCTCTCTCTCTCTCTCTCTCTCTCTCTCTCTCTCTCTCTTTCTCTCTCTCTCTCTCTCTCTCTTTCTCTCTCTCTCTCTCTCTCTCTCTCCCTCCCTCTCTCTCTTTCTCTCTCTCTCTCTCTCTATTTCTCCTTTACCTTTATCTCTCTCTCTCTCTCTCTCTCTCTCTCTCTCTCTCTCTCTCTCTCTCTCTCTCTCCCTCCCTCCCTCTCTCTCTTTCTCTCTCTCTCTCTCTCTATTTCTCCTTTACCTTTATCTCTCTCTCTCTCTCTCTCTCTCTCTCTCTCTCTCTCTCTGTGTGTGTGTGTGTGTGTGTGTGTGTGTGTGTGTGTGTGTGTGTGTGTGTGTGTGTGTGTGTGTGTGTGTGTGTGTGTGTGTCTAATGTAGTCGTAGTGAGTGGGATATGACGTCACAAACTCATTATTCATTCACATATCTAAAAATAATAATTATGATGATGAAGAGGATAAAGATAATAATAACAACAATAATATTAATAATGATAATGATAATGATAATGAATAATAATAATAAAAAGATAGTGATAATGATAATAATAATAGTAATAATAAAATAATTATAACAAAAATGAATCAATAGTAATTATCAATATTTGTTATCGTTATTTAATAATGACAATAATGATAATGATAATAATGACGATGATAATAAAAAAAACAATAACAACAATAAAGATGATGACAATAATAACAATAATAACAGTAATAATGAAAATAACAACAACAATAATGATAATAACAATAATAATAATAATATTAATGATAATAATAATGATAATAATAATAGCAATAATAATAATAATAATAATAATAACAATAATAATAAAAAAAAATAAATAGTAACAACAATTACAATAATAATGATGATGAAGATACTCCAGTTGATAACGACTGTGATAATAACATTAGTGAACGACAATGAACATGAACAATAAAATAACAATGATAACACTAATAACAAAGATGACAGGGACGGTGGTAATTAACATGAAACTATTCACAGTGCTAATAAATGCAACGCTGACAATGCCATTCTAATAAAAAGGAAAAATGATTTTGATATTAATGTTAATAAATCCTTTATAATATTACTAAGATAAACGGGAAATGTAACAGCGATAATAACAGTAAAAATAAAATGATAATTATGGTTATGGTGATAATGTCAGTAAAAAAATGAAAAAAAACACATGAGGATTAATTCAAAATATATTTTTCTTTTATTTCCTCAGAAGTAAGTTCCCTTCAGATCGGGTGGGAGAATTCCCAAGAAATATCTATAAATATCTAAGCAGCTTTTTGTATAATAAATAAACATACACGCGTATACATAAACGTTAACACATATAAAAGTATACACAAATTTTGATGCAAACAATTTTCTCTCTTACTATTTTTTTGCTATATTTATTTATTTATTTGTCAGTGTGAAAATATAATACAACTTAAATTTCATTACAAACCTTTGACCAATCATTCATAATTTCTTTTTATCATTTGATATTTTCAAACATGCTTGTATAAATTTCCAACTTGTAGCCTCCTAACTCTCATTCTCTCTCTTGCTCTTTCTCTCTCTCTCTTCTCCCTCCCCTATCTCTTTATCTATCTCTCCTTCCCCCCTCTCTCGCTCTTCCTCCTTCCCTTCCAGTCCTTCTCTCTCTCTCTCTCTCTCTCTCTCTCTCTCTCTCTCTCTCTCTCTCTCTCTCTCTCTCTCTCTCTCTCTCTCTCTTTCCAAAAATGACTTGATGAACTAATTTGAAACCATCAGTGAAACTGGCAACCGCAGATCGGCAGTTGCCAACTAGTATTTTTATCGAGACCCAAAGTACCTTGAGGTCATCAGCCTGGTAATATAATGCTCTACGAACATCAGTAACTCATTTCAGTCAATACCCAGGCTGAAGTACAAACGCATATATCCCAGTTAATAAAACGTGATGTGCAATCAAGCCACCTTGTAATGTATTGCCACCTAGACCACTCAAAGAGCTCATTTAGCAAGGCAAATAGAAAAAGATAATATTTTACTTTTGATAATAACCCCAGCTATAAATACATACATGTACATCACGTCGAAAAATAAACATAAACATAAACGTTGTACTGGAACTTGCGATAAGCATTCTGAAATTCGCCCTGGAAACGTATTAACTAAGATAATATTTACTTGTTTATGGACATTTAACATATCATAATAAAATATGGGGTAGAAATACAACCACAAAATTGAGACTCATGAAACCATAGTTCTTTAAAGAAGCTCTTGAATTATACCCTACAATGTATACTTTCAACCTTTTAAACACATTCACATTCAAAAATATTTTCATACGACATGATTGCACAGTACGCCAACACATAAACTCATATAAAAGCAGACCACACACGCACGCACACACACACACACACACACACACACACACACACACACACACACACACACACACACACACACACACACACACACACACACACACACACACACACACACACACACTCCACACACACACACATATATAGCTCTCGTTCCCCGCTTGCACTTTCATTTCGGTGTTAAAACCCGTTCATATAACCCACACGACCACAAAATAATGTTTTGGAAAAAAAAACTCTACGGTTTGCGATTACCATATTTCACTTACTGTGCCCTTTTTTTAAACTCTTCCAGTCATTCAAAATGTAACATATCTTTAAGATAATAATAAATACTTTATTTCTTCAATATTATATATCTTTATTGGTTGGATAAACATTTCATATTTCTAATTCGACTTGTCCTGTTGCTGATCATTTGCGAGATTCTGATATATCAAATGAAGGACTATTTAAGATAAAAATAACGGAAGGCAAGGAAAAGTATAAACACAATAAAAGCATGAAATGGAACATGAAAGAAGAAAAATAAAAATAAATACAAAAAAACACATACTTTTTAACACGACGCTATCATCCAGTGGAATATTCACCCTTATGCCTTATATTCATAAGGTTTAGACTACAATAACTTTCTTCCACACCATACATGTAGCGTGACTCTTTGACAGCAGCTGTTTTGCGTGTTTCAAGCATATCATATATTTTTTTCTTTTCCCATTTTTCTCTTCTAAAATATTCTTTTCTACTCTTTTCTCCTTCTTATTAAAAAAAATCTTTCTCCCTTTTAATTTTCTTTTTCTTTTAATATTTCCCTATTCTTCTCTATCTAAATTTCTCTTTTCTCCTATTTCCCCTTTTATTTTTATAATTCCTCTTTTTTTCTCTCTTTTTTTTTCGTTGATATATTTTTTTTTCGTTCATATGCGCCAGAGAGAACACTGATGGATGACTCCTTCTGAACAAAGCTGCATATCAGGAGAGCACGAAAGCACGGGGGGAAGGGGGGGGGGGTTAGTGCCATTAAGGAGGTGGGGGGGGGGGGTTAGTGCCATTAAGGAGGAGGGGTGGGGGGGGATCAGTGCTTTTAAGGGGGGTGGGGGGGAGAAGCTTGACACAATGGGTTCTTTGTCCTTCTAAATATACTGGAAAGAGCCAGATTTTAAAATAAATCGGGAAAGGTACTTTCTGCAATCGCAAATGTATCCTTGTAGAAATATAACCTGTAAAATTTGCATAGATAAATAAAAGTATACATTTACATGCACACACACACACACACACACTCACACACACACACACACACACACACAGGCACACACACAAATATTTATGCATATATATATCTATATCTATATCTATCTATCTATCTATCTATCTATCTATATATATATATATATATATAAAGAGAGAGAGAGAGAGAGAGAGAGAGAGAGAGAGAGAGAGAGAGAGAGAGAGAGAGAGAGAGAGAGAGAGAGAGAGAGAGAGAGAGAGAGAGAGAGAGAGAGAGAGAGAGAGAGAGAGAGTAAGATTGAGAGAAACAAAAACAACAGTAACAACAACAACAACACTTCTCCGCCGATCCCAAGTTCGTATGAAGCCACAACAAATCACAAAACAAACATTGATTTGACCCAACACCTAAGGAAGAGCTCGCGTGTGTCCGAAGGGCTGTCTTAAGCTCTTGGGTCCTCTGTCTTTCCGAACACTCGCTCTACACGCCACATCTTCACGAAACTACAATTCCCTTTCCGTCTAGCGAATCGGACGCGCTCTCAAGAGGCTGCGGGACTAAATGATTAAATCTTGTAATTTTAGCTACTGTTTTTATATTTGTTATTATACTGTTTATCATTATCATTGTCATGATCTTTATAATCATCCTTATTGTTATCATTATTGGTATCATTACTGTCATCATCATTGTCATTAATATAATCATTATTATTATAGCTCTAATCATCATTATCATTATCATCGTTATTACTGTTGTCATTATTATTAATGTTGTTGTTGCTGTTATTACTATTATTATTATTGTATTATTATTATCATTATTATCATCATCATAATTATCATCATTACTTTTATTATCATTATTCTTTTTACTGTCATTATCATTATTATTATTACCTTTACCATTATTAATATTATCATTACTATTATCACTAGTCGAAGTGACACTTGT